CAACAACAACTCTACGCTAGACACAATGGTTGCAGGTTGTTTTAGATTCAAGAAACTCTGGCCTTCAAAAATTGTTCGAATGAAGAAGCGTAAGAAGATATGCATGCCTATAACTATTTAAGAAATGTTAACCATTAAAGTTCACTGAAGACCAGTCTGTTGACGTCCGGCAAACAGACCCTGTAAGTGTGTGTATGTTTATTATTTTGTTCTCTTTTCTTTGAAAATAAGAGGGAGACAGAGAACCAAAGAGACAGGAGTCCCCAAAGGCAGCTGAAATGGCTCTTGCCCCTTCTTGGATGGGGACAAGGAGTAGCACAAAGGCCGGGGGAAAGAACACAGCAGTTGGGTTTGCATTCGGTCCTTCCCCACTCTATCCTGCTCAGGAGAATGGGTGCAAGACGCTGAATGGTTGGCCATGGAATTAAAGTTGTGGAAAGACTTCTGAGGAAGAACAAATTAACTTATTTAACCTGGGTTGGCACATTAAAATTTGTCATGTCATCTGCCTTCCTATCTTGGGCAATAATGTAGCAATGAATCCTCTCTAATTTCAACAAGTGTCAAAATGGAAATAAAAGGCATTAAATATTTTGCTCTTAAGTAAAACCAGGGAACCAATAATGAATGAGCTGTCTCATAGATGACTTGGTTTCAAAACTGTTTTTGTGTTCCTCAGTAAATTCTACTTTAAAATTTAGCCATTGCTTAAAAATCTTACATTTTGTTCATTTACCAGAGATATTTTATAATGAGGTAAGCAGCATGCTTCCTTCATTGTTATATTTTGTCTTACATAACTTAAGTTTTCCTAGCATTAATTTAATAAGAATAAACCGCCAAACTACGTAAGTGTAGTTTCCCTCTTTCTCCCCGGTCCTTTCTTTGGATTCTAAATTGATTTCCTCCTGGAGGACAGTCAAGGGCTGACCAGACAAACAGGACAAGAAGTGATGAGCTCGCTGTTCTCCAGGTCTTCCCTCCCCCCTCCACGAGAATCATAAAGTGAATTCTAAGCCAAAACTTAGGGTAACTACTCGGCGATGTTTCTCTAAGACTGTCTACCTTAGACCTGAGATTTCAGCTTGTACATAGAACCCTGAAAAGTCTAGGCATAGGGCTTTTTCATCCACTCGTTC